AGCTTCTTGGCTTCCCAGCAACAGGTAAACAGTGGTACATGACATTCTGCCTTTTCGGGACACTCTCCGTGTTCCAGCTCTTGAGACTAGGACAAGGCAGTACTTCGAGCGGTGCCTGTTCGCTTGATGTGTTCACTACCGACTTCTTTTAGCGTTTCAGCCTTTTAGTCGATCTCGTTATCAACCTACATAATCGTTCACTGTAGAACTCGTACTATTTCCTCCGTGAAGTCCTTCTCACTTCGCTAGTGGGGCAGATCGCAGTTTGTTTTTGAATTTTGACTTTTTGAATTTGCATATCAATATCAGCCTAACATTTTACCCATTTAGCACAGTACATCTGTAACTTCGGAATGGTGCACAATTAGATGCCAGTGCTAACCAGCACTATCTGGTGGTAGTGGACACCAGCCGTTTTTTCTGAACTAGGGACCTGCTCGTTCTGAAATAGTTACTGAGATAATGTAGTAGTAAAACTTCCTTTGGTCAGGGCAATGCGTTTCGCCCTATTCCGTTTCCCGAGTTATACATACATATGCACTATCCTACTATTCATTCTCAAAGGTACGAGTGTCAGTTCAAGAAGTCACAGTTGGGATTAACCACTTGACTTTTTGCATTCAACCTTCTTTTTATGCACCTTATGGACCGTGTTTGATCATTATGGAGCTCTGATCGATCTTACCGTACCTGTTTTGCAATCGATAGTCTGCTCCGGAACGTCGTGAAGTTTGTTGATCGTGGCTCTGACATATTCACCTACTGCAACCCGTACACACCAGCTGTTGCTGACGGCAGCTTGGCAGCGGCAGAAAATAACTGGTGGTATTGAGGGGGAAAACTTCAATGATGAGATGTCACGGTGAATAAAATGGGAATCAAAATGAAAGAATTTTGGGGGAATCATCCATCAAAGCTGTAATACATGTAGTTTTTCTGCAGAACATTCATCAGAGCAAGAGGTGGGAATAGTTGAATATTAGCACGAATGCGCTACTCTTTTCAACATCGCTTGAGGATGAAAGCCCACACTTTCTTTGATACTGTTGTTATTACCGTAACAGGGAACAATTACCATAATATAGCATTTATCGATGTAGTTGCTATAAGAAGGAAATGACCTGAGCGGGACTACGGACGTCAGAATATGCCCCGAAACTGTTCGCTTTTGTTGTTTCATATTTCAGGACAGATTCCAGTAAGGTTCGAGAATGAGAGACATGAAGAATCTTTCAATGACGTCTGGGCCATCACCGGTAGTTACCGCTAGAAGAATTACTGTGAGATTCAAAAAGGAAATGAGCAAAAAATAGGCTCCTCACATAGAGAATAGCGAGCAGGACTCCACTATATTCAGTCATGTAAGAAAGTAATAAGTTGAACTAACTTATCACTGACCGATGTAATTTTTGAAATTTTGCCGTCCAAGTGAACTAGTAGAGTTGGAAAGGAAAAAAGCTCAGCAATTTCCGGTGGGCAGCACGCAGGAGCACGTTGACCAATAGTCAAGGTGCCTTGCAAATGATTTTAAATATGTATCAGAAGAGGAAAACTTGGTCCGTTCAGGTTTATGCATTGGTCAACAGCGATTGCCAGCATTTCTTGATCCTTACCCGATTCTAGTGATGTCGTGCAAGATGCAAGCCTGTGCGGTAGTTTTCTACCAGCAGAGGTATTTTCATGAAGGTCGCTGTAGGGCACTTCAAATTCCTTCTTATACATGCGTGCGCGCCCAGCATTGACAAGAGGAAGGGGA